CCTACATAATGTAGTACACAGCATTTATATTGGCTTAACGCTTCAGTGAGAACAAACTTATCTAAAATAATATCACTGGAATCCCTTGGGCCCAATTCAAAATTGATTTGCACTTCTTCTCTAAACCAACACTATCCTGAGGGGGTGAGTGTACAATAAATACATCCAACACAGAGAGAGAATCAGGCTTGTTCATTTACATGAGTTAATATGGCATTAATATACTGCTGTTGTATCATACAAGAATTGTTGTTTCAGAAAATATGTAAAAATTAAAGCAAGCTGCAAAAATACTAGTTCACTTGTGATGCTGGGACTTACAGAAGTTAAAGAAGAATGCTACAAATGATGGATGAGTTCCATATGTTGTAACAGTGTCTAAGCCTAATACTTCAAATCTTAAATCAGTTCCAGCAGGAACTCCTGGTCCCCACCCTCAAAATAGCATCTATAGCCTTAGAAGCTCAGCTTCAAACCAAACCCGTAATTTGTGAAATCCAAGTCCTTTCAGCTCATCCCTTCCATCTGGTGTTCCATCTCCTAGCATATAAAATAAGCCCGTTTTAAATGCTTTGCTTTCCATTCTACAAGCTCTCTTTCATTGAAACAAAAATCTTTACTGCAGCTCTTTTGCCATACTCCTACTTTGGGAGGAGATAAATGGAAGGACACAATGAGACTCTAGACAACTAAAAGAAGCCTTTGAGGACAGTATATAAGCTACATTTACCCAGTTTTGTCAGGCTGCATAATTATTAGTGTGAAAACACACAACAATATTTGTTTGAGGAGCACAGAGGGAACATGGCGATTGCTGAGAAATAATCTGCTATTTCCAAAAAGCCAGTTCATTAATTAGTCAGGTCTCTGTGGTACAATTTTTCTTTGGCTCAATCTAAATATAAAAAAGAACTAAGAAATGCATACATTTGAGAGAAAGCGTGTCCTAAGAGAAAGACCAGAGGTTTGGGGCTGGAGAGACCATCATTCTATTGCAGGTTATTTTATTCTGGGTAACTGGAGGAAAGGCATTTCATGTCACAAAGTGAATGGGTTATCAGAACATACATTTTTTTTTTTTTTTTTAGGTAAGTGACTGAACAGGGGCAAATCGTAATGTGATATCCCCATAGGCATATCCAGGATTTTGAAAACATGGTGTGGTACATTATCACATATAACACAGTAGATACTTTTCTCCATGTATAAAGAAACTAAAAGCTTTATTAATATGCTAGGGCCCTAGGGGTATATTATTCAAAGACAAATATAACTTTATTGGAATGTGCATTGATTTAATATACCCTGATTTTTAATATAAAATCCATAACAATATAGGCAAAAATAAATAAATTAATTAAAATGTTGTTTCAGTAGTCCTGTAATCATTAGAACTCAGTGTAGTCTCTTCTAGATTCATAAAACAGAATCAACCCTTCCTGAGCATCTTGATAGTACATCCAATACTTTACTGAACGTTATTTCCACACCACGGTTAATGTTTCCACATCTGAGTTAATGTTCTCAACAAGAGTTAAAAACAGTTTGCAGGGCTGTGAAATAGGAGCTAAGTTACCAGGAGGAACTGCAGAAAAAAAAAAATAAGCTGGAGGAGTGAATGCTTGGGCAGCACGTGTTGCTGAGAAGTGGAGCCGAGCTGACTGGAGCCATACTGTGGCTGCTGGCCAGACTCTGCCCAGCAAAATCACCATGTCTGCAGCCCCCTGAAACCTGCAGGCCCCCAGATAAGGCTGCTGGGGCCAGCCCAGTGCTGGCCCCAGCCTTCCCCACTACCCCCAGGGTAACTTTCTTTGCGCCAAAGCGTGCATGGCACAGGCATTCCCGAGGGACAAGTAGCTGCAGTGCAAGGTGCACTACTGCTACTTGTCCCCAGGGAACCAAACATCCGCGTGCATCTGGATGAACCCTTACAGACCTAATAGGCAGAACAGAATTTGACCTATGGTCTTCCAGTTTACCATGCACAGTTGTAACTGTTTAAATTAGAGGTGCACCAATACATCAATCTCATATCAGATCAGAACCAATAAAAGGAAAATTGACTGTACTGACAATCGGCTTTTTTTTGGCTGATGTGGCCTATACCACTGATAAAATGCCCCATCCATGTGCAGCCACAGCGCAGCATGCAGGTTGCCAGGAGCACAGCCTGACAGCATGGAAAGCAGCTGGGTCCAGCTGGTAAGTCTGTTGTGAGGGAAAGGGCATGGGGGTGTAGATCGTGGGCCACGCGGGGTTGCTGTGGTGAGGAAGTCAGTGGAGCTGGGGAGGGAAGGACGCTACACAGCCAGGGTGGTGCAAGGGATGGAGCCATGAGTGGCTCATCCCAGGGGTGGGGCAGGGGAAGGTCCCACCACTACATGCACCCTGGCAGGGCATAGGGAGCACATGCCCTGGGATCTGCACTCAGGGCAAGGGCAGGCTGCCACTGCGGGCTGGGGTGGTGCCGGGATCTTCCCAGTGGGGGTTGCACCGGGCTATGCTTGGGGCAGGTGGTGGCAGCACTGGGAGTGGGGGCTATGGCAAATTTTGGGGTGGCTGCACTCACCCCCCTAGCTCCCTCCCAGCCCGCCTGGCCCCGCCCCCCCCCCCCCCCATCAGGAAAAGCCCAGCGCAGCCCTGGCTCCAGCCCAGAGCTGCAGCCTGCCCTCGCCCTGTGCGCAGATCCTAGGGCACATGCCCCCCCCAGTGCCCATCTGGAGTGCATGCAGTGGTGGCAGCCGCCTCCCCCTGCACCCCCCAGACAAGCCACTCATGGATCTATCCCCCATTCTGCCCCAGCTGTGCAGCGTCTTCCCCTGCTCCAGCCCCTGATCTTCCTCCCCATGGCACTTCCCTCTCCCCTTGTCCCTTCCCCCCACAACAGACTTACCAGCAGGATGCCACTCTCTAACTTGCCCAGCTGCATATCAGAATCAGATTGGCATCAGCCATTCTGGCTTGTTAAAAATTGGCCATCTGTATCGGCCCCAAAATTCTCTATCAGTACACCCCTAGTTTAAACCCCGACTCTTTGTGGTATTAGTCCTGCCTTTGAGGCTCAGCTATTTCAGAAATCTCCTGTTTAATAGGTGGTAAGCTAAGATTACTTTTTTGCCTACCAGCTTATCATCTACAGTATTATGTGCATATATGTCTTTCATCAAAAGGCTGATATGCAGGTGATGGCTCATGGGAGTGCTCTAGTAAGGTAGTGTTATGATTTGCACTCCATGGAATCCTCAATTTTAAAGACTTGTTCTTCACAAGCCCAAGGTAAGGTTATAAAATTAAAACTCTGGAATGATCATTACAGGGGTCCTTTCAGGGATTTAAGCTTTTAAATGTCTACCACCAAGTTCAGCATTTTGGTCATATTGTATTAGTACTCTGAGGTTCTTAACCAGCCCAAGCTGAGAATGATAAAGCATTACAGAACTTACAAAGGAGAAAGGAATTTGTGGAATTTAATAGCTTACACAGAAATTATCTTAAATCCACATATTTTTACTTTGGCTATCAGCCAAAGGGAACACCTGTGGTGATGTCCTGTGTACACATACAAGGAGTTTGACACAGCCCTGCCAGTAAGAGCTGCAATTTCACCAACTCCATTTTGTACCAGGACAATTTGGTTTAAAAGATTTAGAAAGATCATGATATAGAAGCCAAACACTTTGCTTACCAGACACAGCCACCATGGAGGGGCAGGGGGTGGGATAAGTTCTTGTTGACACAGTACTTTCCAATTTTAGGTTTTCCAGATCTAAAACTATATTCACATCCAAGAGTAGAATCAGCAAGTATCAGGTCAGTATGCATCCCTGCATCAGCATTCATTTTAAAGCTGCTTCCAGTTAACTAAATAGTAAAATACATAGATGAATAGGAATCCTACCCAAGATACCTACCCGTTTCAGAATTTTACATAAGGCCTATTACTTGGTAGCTCAACATGGTCTATTGCATGCATTTAAACAGGGAAATGATTTTATACAACCCTTTGTACAACCCTGACACTTTCATAGCTTCCAGGTGCACTACTACAGGGTCAGAGTACAGGGACAGCATATTACTGCAGCACATTCACAACTGAATGGCAATGTTCCTGACTTCATTAATGTTCTGAAATGATATCCTCATCCTCAGCCACATCAAATTGGGCCCTGAAGACAATGGGAGTTTTTCCTGTGTATACCACAGCTTAATTTGCCCTGGTTCTGAAACACAAAGCATGAGCTTGATTATATTTAGATCTCAATCACCATTTTTCCATCCACAAATAAAACCCCATATTGATGGGGAGTTTGTGTTTGTTTTGGCAGGAAGGTGCTGCAGCTGAAAGCTAATGAGGACAGTTCGACATAGTGATAAGCAGCAGCCCATGAAGCAGAGCTTTGGATAGAATTTCCTTGAGTGTAGTTAAAGGGGAACTTACTGTAGAAGCAGTTTTGGAGTTGTTTTCTGCTTGCTGCCCAGAAGATTTCTTACATGCAATGCTTTTAATTACTGTGAATAATCCACAATAGAATTAAGCTAGTAGAGCACACCAGAGGGAACGATGTCTAGCAGCAGGGAGCTGCATGCAAAGCTCATCTGAGAAACTCAGTAAATATTCACAGTTAACCTGCACTGAGCACAGCCTTGCCAGGATAAGACTACTACTAGCATCCAACCAACTAGCTCAGCATAGCACAAGCATACCTGCAGGAGTTGCAATCACAGCAGTGACTATAACACAGACAGGCTGTGCTAGAGTTTATGGCTCTAGTCCAGCTCTCCTCAAGGAACATCCAAACCAATTTGGACAGCAGGGTGTGAACATTTCACTTCAACGTTCAGGACAAATCATTTTGTGGACCTCAGCATATGGCAAGCCAAGCTAAGCTTGTCAAAAAGAATTACTCCCCGTAAAAATCAAACCCATTATCTTGGAACAAAAATGGAGCAGAACAGCTCAAGGAAGATTGCTATATATAAAAATCCTACATCAGGCCTACCTGACCTTGAGAAGCTTTGGCTGTTACTAGGATCTTACCAAACACACTAAGAAATGCATGAACCACCAAGCAAGCTGATTCCTTGCACAATCCCTTCCACCTGACACCTCCTGCAGGTGCAACAGAGTGAGATGGCTTCAGCCCTCAGCAGCTTATTAACCCTTTGGCAATCAGTGTGGTATTCACATTCTATATGAAGACTGTATTGGATCTATAGGTCTTGCCCTATCTACAGTTCCTGTCTGTTTGTCTCTCCCCGTCTCACATGCAGATTAAAATCTTTGTGGAATAGGGAACCTTTATTCATCTCTTCAGAGCTGAGCACCATGAGGCCTTCATCCTTGAATGAAGCAAATGAGAAGAAGAATTGATACAGTTGTTTTCTCTGTGGAATGAAGTCCTCCAATAAAAGGTTGAATCCTAGGACTAAAAACTTTACAGTCTTAATTGGGCCAAGGCCCACCCCCTGCATTTGAATGTAATTGGCAGAGCTTCCCCAGGGTAGCATTTGTATGGATTCAGGGCTGGGAGGTTCTAAGGGACACAGTATTGGAAGTCCAACAAGAAGCTGTCCCAATACAACAGAAGCACAAGAAGAATGGCAAGAGACCAATGTGGCTGTAGAAGGAACTTCTAAAGTCCCTTACATGCAAAAGGAAGGTATACAGGCAATAGAAGAATGGGCAGGTCACCAAGGCAAAGATAAAGAATGAGCTGCACCTGGCAAAAGAGATTAATGACAAAAACAAAAAAAAAGAGACCCTGTAAGTATGTTGGCCAGAAAAGAAGGACCAAGGAAGCTGTAAATCTTCTGTTAACAAGGCATGGGGAACTCCAAACCAAAGATGCCAAGAAGGTGAAGCTACTCAACAAATAATGTGCCTCAGTCTTCACAAAAATATTAAATTGCCGGACACTAAATAGGGATTATCTGAATAAGGAAGGAGGCAAGCTGAGGGAGGAGATAACGAAAGAGACAGTCAGAGAGCTTTTGTTGGGTCTGAATTAATTCAAGCCATCAGGGCTGGATGCGCTTCATCCCAGGGTCCTGAAAAAACTGGCAGAGATCTCAGAGTGCTTAGCAAAAGCGGTGAGAGACAAGCCAGGTCCCAGAGGACTGGAAAAGGGCCAATGCAGTAGGGCTGTGTGAAATTTTGGCGGGGATTTCATTTCAATGCTGTTTCAACTCGTTTCAAGCTCAAAACAGCAAAATTGAAATGAAACAAAAGGCTTTGAAACAGCCTTGAAACAAAATGAGGGCACTTGGAACATTTTGAAACATTTTAAGTTTTGAAGGTGGGCTTGCTTGCAGGGAAACAGAAAGTAAGGAGAAGCGGGGGAAGGACTGCTTTAATATTGACTGTGTAGCTGGTCATTGACTGTGATCCTTCCCTGAGGTCCCTTCCAATCCCAGTGCTCTGGGGGAGGAATGGAAAAACAGCATAAAAGGCAGGATTGTTTGAACTGAGCTTCCTCTGTGCCTTGGGGTCAGTTACTGAGATGTGTCTTATAGCAGCTTAGCAGAGTCAGAGAAAGGCTATCACTTCCTACTTGTTAGCCTGTTCCTAGCAAGTGGGATCCAATACCTTTTGCTTTCCTAATACCCTTTATTATTTTATTAATTCATTCCTTTCAATTTATTCCTCCCCCAAAATCCTCGTTGTGTTTTTGTTAGTCTATTTTGATTCTTTTCCCCCAGAAAAGAAATCTGTGTTTTTTCTCACAGTGTGCATTCCAATCACTGTGCAGGGAAGCACAGCATGTATTGCATATTAAAATCTAAAATTTATTCAAGAACACATACATACATTTATATATTCTATTTATTACATAAATACATACATTACATAAATACAATTATCCACATATATTACATAAATACAGATTATGTTACAGAAGAACACACAGATATTCCAGCATACCAAACACACTATGAAACATGCTGGAAAGGCAGCTGTCAAGGGAGGAACAGAAGAGGGGGTAGAGGGAGAACAGTTAAGTTCCCCCCTCCCCAAACTGAGATGCAGCATCTTTACTACAACTAGCAGGCATGAGGCTTCCAGTTCTACTGGCAGCAAGGACAGGGGAGCAGTGCCACTGCCTGAGTCTGCATCCCCTCCAAAAGCACAAGACATAATCCCCTGACCACCACCACTACCATGACAACAAGAAGGAGCACCAGCATAACAGTCTCCTCCACCCCCATTTCACTTCCCATGCTGAGCCTTCCAGTGCCAGAGGAAGAGCTGGATCTGGATCTGAGTGCCATAGCAAGGGAAATTCTGGGGAACGAGGGGGAATCATCTGAATTTTTGTTTCATACCCCTCAAATTTCCTCTAGAGCCAGATCTCCTTCCCCAGAAGGCACTTCAGAGGAGGCTGAGGTAGAGGTTGTGGAGGCAAGTGGCTCAGCTGAGTCCGCTCCTCCTCTTGCTGTGCCTCTGCTTGCTGAGGAGGGGGAAAAGGCAGCATCCACACATGCACCCACACCCCAGAAGAAGAGAGTGGGTACTGTGGTTTGGGATCATTTTGATTTGGCAGATGATCTCATTGTAATTGAGATTTGGGATCTGAGAATCCTAAATTACAATGATCTCATTGCAAAACCAGCTGGGGCAAGGGAACAAGACACATGAGCACCACGGGAATGCTGATGCATCTCTGCAGGCATCACCCCCCTGCTCTTGCTCCTCCTCAGCCTGGCACCAGTGAGAGCATGCCTAAATTGAAGACCCCCTCTCACTCCAAAGCCCCTGTTCCACCGAAGCAGAGGCAGGTTACCCTGGAACAGTGTGGGAAAGGCGGACAGAAAGGGGAGCATGTTGCAAAGGGGAGCAAGATCACCCAGAGCATTGGGAAGATGCTTGCTGTAGATGGCCAGCCCTTCTCCTTAGTTGAGTGGCCAGGGTTCAGGTGGCTCATGGTGCTTGTGGCCCCATCATACCAAGTGCCTGCATGCATCACCTTCAGCTGGATGGTAGTGCTCTCCCTGTATGAGACATGCAAGGAGTACTTGAGGGAGGAACCATGCAAGGCAGGTCCACAGGTGGCCTTGCACTTCACCTTGGACATCTGAAGCAGCCAAGGTGGATATCATGCCTACCTCTTCCTCACAGGGCACCAGTGTGACCAGGCAGGCCATCAGTGGGCTTTCATAGATTCATAGATTTTTAGGGTCTGGAATGGACTTTGTAGATCATCAGGTTCAGTCCTCCTGCACTAGGCAGGAAAAGACAACTGGGGGTCAAGTGACCACAGCAAGGTGACTGTCCAGTCTCCAGTTGAAGATTTCCATGGTAGGTGATTGCATCACCACTGGAGGGAGTTTATTCCACAGTCTGGACACCCTGACTAAGAAGGAGGTTTTTTCCTGGAATTGAGCCTGAAGTTTCCATGAGTTTGTATCCATTGCTCCTGGTCTTCCCCAGGGGTGCCCTGGTGAACAGCTATTCACCTGGTCCTTAATGTATTCCCCTGATGTAGCAGTAAGCCGCTACCAAGTCCCCTCTCAGCCTTCCCTTCTGTAGGCTGAAGAGACCCAAGTCCCTCAGCTTCTCCTCATATGATTTGTCTTCCAAGTCCTTGATCATACAGGTGGCTCTTCTCTGGACCCTCTCAAATTGTTCAATGTCCTTGCTGAAGTGTGACATCCAGAACTGGATGCAGTACTCCACCTGTAGTCTCACCAGTGTGGAGTACAGTAGGAGTATCACTTCCTTAGTTTTGCATGAGTTGCAATGGTTAATGCATGCCAGAGTGTTGTTTGTCCTACTGGCCAGAGCATCACACTGCAGGCTCATGTTCATGCGATGGTCAATCACTACCCCTAGGTCCCTTTCAGCCATGGTGCAAGTCAAATTGTTTCTGAGCCTGTAGGTATGTTGGGGATTGTTTGCCCCCAGGTGGAGCACCTCACACTTCTGAGTGTTGAACTTCATATGGTTCTAGTCCACCCAGCTCTCCAGCCTGTCCAGGTGCACCTGTATCTGCAACCTATCTTCTGGCATGACCACACTCCCCCATAACTTGATGTCATCCGCAAACTTGGCCAGCGAGTTTTTCACCACCACATCTAAACCACTGATAAAGATGTTGAAAAGCACCAACCCCTGAGGGGCACCACTGGCCACTTCTCACCAGAAGGACACAGATCTGTTCATGACAACTTTCTGGGTTCTACCGTGAAGCTAGTTTTCCACCCACTGACGTGTTGAGCTGTTAAGCCCACAATATTCCAATTTTTCCACAAGGATATCGTGGGATACTAAATCAAAACCCTTTTGGAAGTCTAGGTATATAATGTTGACCTTCTCTCCCGTGTCCAGGCAGCAAGAGACCTGTATGTAGGAGATGAGATTGGCAAAACAAGACCTACCCATCATGAAGCCATGCTGGTTGTCATTCAGAATCTTACCCTCAATGAGCGCATCACGCATAGATTCTTTAATGAGTTTTTCCAGGATTTTCCATGGGATGGAGGTTAGGCTGATTGGCCTATAGCTCTCTGGGTCCTCCCTCTTCCCCTTCTTGAAGATGGGCACAATGTTGGCCCTCTTCCAATCCTCAGGAGTTTTGCCATGGGTTTGCCTGGAGTTTTGCCTCAAGCCCTTCCTAGAGGCCACTGAGACCCTCAGCGCTGCCGATGCCCTCCTTAGTCAGGTGATCCCTATAGTGAGGGAACTTCAAAACCAAATGGAGAAGTTCCAGGGGAATCAATGTTCCTGTCTGGGGCAAGCTGTTGCCAGCAGATGTGAAAGCACTGGTGAGGTGGCTGAATGAGGGCATCAGGAAACGGCTTGATCTCTTGTGGTCTAATACAGTCCACATGCTGGCCACCATGTATAACCTGAGGGTGAAGGGCAGTATCAGCATATGTGGCAGAAAAACTCGGGATCAGTAGATGGAGGTGCTGGTGGAGAGAGTCATGGAGGCAGAAGGCTGGAGGCAGGGGGACTTGGAAGAGCAGGATACACTGTCCGATGCCAGCACAACATCCACCAGCCAGTCTCTTCCTCCACCACAGGTGCTGCCAATGTGGGCCATGGGCATGGCTTCCATGGTAGGGTCCAGAGGCACCAGA